TAAATAAAAATGTGTGTCATTATAAATAGTAAATACTCTATTAGTTATTTGTTATACAATTATTTTTATAATTTCATTATATGTACTAATTTGTTTATTATAAAAATATTTTTTCGAGCACATGTGTAGTATATGAGTTTCATACTAATATATATTATCAAAATTGTAGGAAGAGTACTTACAAAATAATGTAGTTGAAACTAATCAATTAATAAAAAATACGATAATAATTGTAGGGATGAATATAACTTATACGTTGAACATACAGTTTAATAATGGGGGGTGGGGGGGAGGAGGATTTCTATTTCTCGTGTAATCCTTGCACAGGGGCCTTATGATGAAGGTCGTGTATCTCGATACTTGGTTTGCTTCAAAAGTTGCTTGCTACGGCTTCCTTTTCGGCGATAGGTTGCTTCAAAGAATGCTAAACACCTTCTCGGCAATAGGTGAGACAGCTCAGACGTGCATCTTGCCAAACTCGAGCTTATGACGAACAATGCGGTGAAATGCCCTTTTCGACACAAGGATTTTGCGATAAAACTCTAGGAATTCTTACACAAGAAATTTTTGACCAATGGTCGGGTTTTTTTATTAATTCAAGGCATGATAAAAAAGATGAGTACGTAGGGTAATTTATAGAAGAGAAATACTAGCCTATGATAAATAAAATACTAATCCTATGAGGAACCAAATTCTATATGAATATTTCAAATCCATGTAAGAAAACTATACCATAAATTAATCGTATGTTATTTTATACTTAATAAAATTGATTTTACATGGATTTATAATTTATTTTATAAGATACTTTTAGGTCCATTTATTATTTTAAATTAGTATTGATATACATATACATACATTATGTTATCTCTATAGAACTATTTATTTTATTTTTATTTATTTACATACATTGGTTATCCAACATCATTGAAAAAAATTATGTGATATATTACATATAAAAAGAGTAACAAATAAAAAAAATATTAAGTGTGTCAAAATTACAAAAAGTAATGGTAGAAAATAATTAAATTTAAACTAAAAATTTAAGACTAACATACCAATTATTAATTTAATATATATATATATATATATATGTATATATATAGTCTTTATCTACTTAAAGGTTCTAGTTAAATTAAATGTACATCTTAGGTATGTTTTATATTTTGCATTTGTCAGCTCGAATTGATATAGGACATTAATAAATTCTATCACTTTTTTACTTTTGAATTGAATGCAAGCTATGAGCTTTCTCATTGTGTAGTCTTACATTTTTATTATGTAGAACATCATTCTTACCCTTTGTTTAGTTATTAATAATACTCATAATAATTAAAGACTTTTCAACCTTGACATGTCTTTTTTGTTTAGAAAAAATTACTAATAATCATAAATTGAATGATAAAAGTGAAACTATAATCGATCTCTCCACGCACTTTGTGCTCCCCCAAATCTCCCTCGTAAACCCTAGCTTCAACGCCGGCAATCTGCGCCTCTCTCGGCATCCATCCGGCTTGCCGGTGGACTGCCCACTGTCGAGCAACCACGCCACTGTTCGTGGCACTTTCACCTCTCTCTCTTTCTGGCCGTGGGGTGCGGATTCAGATCTATGGCAATCTCGTCACGATTTTGTCGATCTGCGATTGAGTCGCCAGAGTCCCAGGGTGGAGCGGCTAGATGGAGTGCGGCACCAGTGAGTGGGTGCAGCTCTGTTGCTGCGTCGTCCCTGTTCAAGTTTCCCCTCTTTCCAGCCTCTGTCGTCAGTCTCGATTTTCTTTTCGGCTTGCAGCGCGCAGGCGTATTGGTGTGGCAGCAGGAGAACTGTGGTCCGTCCTTGGTGGCTGGGTGGGGTGATCGGGTTCAATCTTTGGACTGAGCATCCCTTATTGCCGGGCTGGCAGGTCATCCTGAGTGCGGGTCTTCGGTTTTGGCTGGAGTCGGGTCGGGATTTGTCCCTGCGAGTTGGGTGGATAGGTGGTTGTTTCGGGCTGGGTTTGTTCCTCCAAGCAGGGTTGGAGCGGCGGAGCTCTGACGTCGTTCGTCTCCTTCCTCCTCTTTCTCAGCTTCTGAGTTTGTGGGAGGCCGTCTATTTCCGGATTGGCTAATGGTGTTAGGCAATTTCGGGATAGTTCGGATTAGCTAGTGGTGTTAGCCGGTTGGGGGACGATTGTGATGTCTTGTGGTTGGTGTGCGGGTCGATTCTTCGGTTTGTTCAGTGCCTTGAGTCTTCGTCTTGCTAGGCCTTCTGCAGTGATGGGCGAGGTATTTGAGCTTCGGAGCTCTCCTCGGAATTGGCTTTTGTCTGCTGTCTTGTTCGGATGTTTCTGCTGAGGGAGGCCATATGTGTTTCCTTAGTTTGTAGTTTTCGTTTTGTGTGTTGTGTTGTTTGTTCTTGTTATGTGTTGTCAGTGTTTTAGATTTGGGCTGTTGGCCTCGAGTAGCCCGAGTGTGACTTTATTATCCTGCTGAGATCGTACACTTGGACATTACCCTGTTAAGGTCGTTTATGTCTGTTTTTTTTTTCTCCCCTTGGGAGCTTTTCAGTGTCGTCGTGNCCTAGATGTATCTTGTTTGTTTTGAAATAGTTTACTAATTACCATAAATTAAATGATAGTTAGCTTGAATGTGTTATATTTTCTATCATTATCAACAATTTTTATAATAACTAGTTGTGCACAATATTACATATAATGCAAATTTTTTTTTGGAGCCTTACTTTGACTACACGAAAATGATATTTCAACTAAAATACATTACAGCGGAATTTCAACGACAATTCTAACGAATATTTAGATGTTATTACTCTCGTCTGAATTTTCTACTAAAATAATTCTAACAAAAATATTTTTTTGGAATCATGGGCAGATCCACGTTTTTTTAATCAGTCCGACACAGGCTCCCATCCTGAAATATATAAGATATCTAACAAAAATTGTGAAAACATTTTTCATAATTTTAGTGAAGTCACCTTTTTGAAAATAAAATTAAAAGAAAGAAAGATACATAATGAATTAATCTACAACTCAACTAATTATAATATAATTCAGCTCATAACTTTATTAAAGTTATAACATAAGCACGACTTCACAACAAAAGAAAGTATGATAGATCTCAAAATTATAAAATTACCCTCTAATTCTATTTTTTAATCTTGGTGATAGCTTCTATTATCTCTTTTTCACCATATTTTTTTCTCTAACTTCAAAATATATTTTTTTGTCCTTTTTAACTAATGTATGTGGAATTTTAGAAATATATTTATAATTTATAAATTCATCAGTTATATTACCAAGTCAATTATACTACAACATAATTTTTTTGTTCATAAAAATTTTAAAACATACATTATTTCTTTTCTTATGTTTAACTAAGATAAATTATGTTTTTTTTTTCTTAAATATTTTTTAACCTGTTGTGACTGTATTGGAGTGTAAAAATGAATTATAAATGAGAAAGATGACAAATTATGAAAGTATAATTTAGAATTATAATAGCATTATATTATTTTGATGGTATACTTTTTTTATTAACTAAATTGTAACGCCCCAATATTTTTAAAAAGCAAAATCCCAAATTTTTTCATTAATCAGAGTAAAATTTTCGAAATTCATTTTTCGACTGAAAATATTTTTAACGGGCGTTATTCAAACCACTCGTTCATTTTACTCGGCTTAGCATCATCTTAAGTCGTTGGGAATTCATTGTCAAATTTTACATCACAACGTACGAGATAATCTAATAATCAATCAATACAATCTCGTAACAAATTCATCCAAATTCAATAGTTCAAAAACCACCACACATAAGGTTTTGAAAACAATTTCAAGCGGAAAAACAATAATCAACGCGGTACACAATAATATAATGACCCCAATCATTTCCTCCTTTGCCACGACCACCAGCTCAACCTGAAAAAGGGGGAAATAATGAGGGTAAGCAAACAACAAGCTCGCCATGGGAATACCATGCAGTATATTCAGTATAATGTCTTAAAATCATAATCGCAGCATAAATGAAAATCACCTCACGTATCTCTTATCTCGCCCTATGCTCATATGTACACACTGTTGCACAGGACCCAGACCGTCTTGCCTATGCTCATATGCACACACTATTGTACGGGACTCAATCCGACTCACCATATGCTCATATGCACACACACTCTTGCACGGGATCTAATCCGGCATGTCCTATACTCATATGTACACACTCTTGCATATGACTCACTAGCTTCTTCCTATACTCATATGCACACACTGTTGCACTAGGGTTCAACTCAATAGATAAGTGGTTCACACGCATACATTGATTATCAAGCCAAGCGATTATAAAGAATAACGAACATGGTAAGGTTTATCAACACCCACCTAATCAGTCGAGATAGACAGATACACAATGATCAGCAGAAGGTAGGCAGAGGGTTCGACTCCTCGTTAATCTACAGTTAATAATTTTTACCTTAATATTAAAGGTTCACAAATACCTTAATCCACTAAAGAGATTCTTAAACTCCAAAAATTATATAAAATCACACATAAGTCATAAAATTTTGAAACTTAGCAGTTCATTGGCCAACATGCTTTATGTATCTCTAATTAAAATTTCAGGTCAAAAGCACCTCAATAGGCATGTCAACACTGAAGCCAAACTACGCGTAAGAACATGATTATGACACCATTAGCTTCAAGAATTTCTCTAAAATTCTATACTCAACAGATGCTGAAAATGACAGACATAATCACAACTCATGCAAGACATACTCATAAAAATTTCAAATCAATATCATGAGTGTAGAGTGAGAAACTTCGAATCTGCAATTTCAAATCAATATCATGAGTGTAGAGTGAGAAACTTCGAATCTAATGGCAGACTGACATGCTGAGACTCAAACTTTTTTATTTCATTCAATACACATCATCAGAGGTTGAAATTTGATACATATACTCTCAACAATATAGGAATATATTATAAAATTTTCAGACTAATATCATGATCATAGGCTGAGATATATCGTCTCAAAGTTGAAGTTAAAAACAGGGGATATGAATCGAATTACACATCAGACTTCAAATTGTTCCACAACATGCTATACTTATCAAAATAATCTGAAATTTGACATACACATTCATCATTCATACAAGAAATAGCCTGTAAATTTTTAGATCGAATGGACAAGCATAACTGGGGAAAAATTCGATTCAAAGTCAGCTGCAGTTTCATGGATTCGAATTGTTCAAACTTATCCATCTCAAGGCATAATCTCAAAGTTTCATCACCACACTGGTTTTCCCAACCAACACACACAGACACAAACAAACAACAATTTAAAGAAAACCAATCCAAAACAGAAAACATGAAAATCCACACACAACCAAATTAAGCCACCAAACAGAGCTTCTCTTTCTCCCTATATATCCCTTCAAACACCCCATGAATTCCACACCTACAGCTCTGATTCACACACCATGACCATACACTTTGACCACCTCCTCAATCTCAGCACGGCAATACGGGCAGTTGGGCCCCACTACTTTGCAGTTCCGTTCATAGCACGGAAAGCAAACCACCTGGTGTTTGCAAGGCAAGAAAAGTACGCTCACCTCATTTACCATGCAAATGATGCATGTCCAGTGGTCCACAGTCTTTGATGACGATTTTTCATAGCAGTACAAGAAATCCAAGTTCTCTGGCAATAAATCCTCAACCGGAAGAGATTTGCGGAGACTGGACAGCTCGTCTTCGAGCGCTAGGCGTTTTTCCTGTGCCTGCTGAATGTCTGATTTGAGTTGCTGCCGCAGTTTTTCAAGGTGGGCAGTCGAGCTGGCTTTTTGGTCTTCCACATTCTTAGTTTCTTGAGCCACAAGAGCCAGAATGTGCTCCTTTGACTTAACTTCCTGCTTCCACTTCTCCTGCAATTAGGAGCCAAAATGAGAGATTATTTTATGATTTTTTTCTAACGCATGTAGAAATCGATAAAGCATGATCATGCTGTAAAATATAGTTCTACAGAAGCAGGAAGTATTTGGACAAGTCTATCATACTCGCAAGATATTGTGATGTAAATTTACTTTGTAAATACTGAGAGGTGGTCACAGAGCCTTTTTCTTTCATAAGTTCACTTAACGACAGCAACACTGCTTAGAACAGTACCTCAATACTAATCTCACAAAATAGACTGATACAGTAACAAAGATTAAACAAATGTCAAATTGCACCATATAAAGCAGAACAATATGATGTATCTTTGATATGTTAGTGCATAAAAAGTAGAGAAAAGTTCACTCATATAGTAATATGCAATCTTAATTCTTAAATGCATTATGTTCCCACTCACTCCAGTAACCACTCAGCACACAAAAATATGCAGAAATTGGGAAGGAGACCATAATTCCGCCAAGACGGAAAAATTAAATGAAGTAAGAACTGTGTACGTAAAACGATCATTTAAATTAGAAATGAACTTCGACGTCAATGAAAGGACACACCTCAGCATCCTCAGCTTGTTTCTCAACTTTAGCCAACTCCTCTTTCAGCTGCAAAGTCCTCTGTTTCTCCTCATCACACTCTAAGCGCAAAACATTAGTCTGCCTCTCAAGCTCCACAAGCCTTTTCAAGCGCCTTTTCTCTCTCTTGGCAACTTTCTTCAATTCCTTCTTGGATTCCAAATTATTCAGCTTAAATCCTTCAATCTCAGCTCTAATTTTGCTATTCTCAAGTTCCATCTTCTTCACAGCATTTTCCGCAATACTTGCCTCGCGGTTTGCTTGCTCGACAGATTTCTCTTTTTCCCGCAGCTTCACAATGGACATCATCAGATGCGTTTTCTCGTCTTTACTTTTTCCCTTGACCCCTTCACCTTCAAACATCTGTAGCTCTTGAAGCTCCAAAGCGGTTGCAGTCACCTTTTTTGCCCAGTCAATCACTTTCTGCTGGGCCCACACTGTTCGACACTTCAACTCCACCTGTAAGCCCCTGATTTGAGTCACCATATCAGCAATCATTCGTGTTTTTAAACCATCAGAGCTTTCTTCCAACACTGACCCTCTTAAAATACGCGATACCTCTGATTTTTCTCCACTGGTGCTTGGGATAGCAAGCATACTTAAATCATCCTCTGTATCACCAAAATGATCCATAGGTTTAAAACTTCCCATTTTCTTAAACAATGAATCATTCTTCAAACTGGATTGAGTTTTCTCAGAGAAAAGATTCTCAAAGATACATGGATCCTCAGTTTCACAGTGGCTGCAAGTTGTATTGGCAGACGAGAGGAAGTCCCACCTCATGACTAAAAGATGCCGCACAGCTTCGGACCTTTGCATGTCAGGTCGTGTCTGCATGACATAATTAACCATTTCTTCAAGCATAGTTTTACATAACTCATCCATGTCGTCAAAAGGTTCTGTAGTCGGGTTAAAGACTTCCTCAATAAAACCAATGACGTTGTGTATGACCTTATTCACAAGGTCTGTATGCCCATTAACGTATCCAGCATTCAGGATAGCTATTTCTACATCGGGTTTACTGTATCCTAAGGTCAAGAGACGTTCTAGAACCGTATTATATGCTTGATTGAGCTTTATGTACAGAAATCCCTCGAAGTTGACCTCCAGATTCATGGGAGTGTTTGAGGCGGAATTAAAATTCGTGTCTGTCTGATGACTCTCGTCCTCAATATTAGAAGGCCCATTGGGGTTGTTGCTCAATGCTTGCCCTAGATCAAGCTTAGGGTTGAGTGCTTCAGACTTTTGTTCGGCGGTCTCAGATTTATTTGGTTTAGATTTTCCTTTGTTCTTCCGTTTACCTTTTCTTGAACCCCCCATGGCTATGGAAAGCAATGTAAAAAAAATTACAAATTAAAAATGTTTAGTTGGACGAAGAAACAATATTCAGCACTGATGTAACTGTTCAAGCAAAACCTAAAATCTAAACTGTGATGCAGAAAGATATAACCGTATATTCTCCATGTTTATTGATGCAGACAAAAAATTAT